CAGGCCGGCGGGAGCCGGCCGGGGGCCCGGGGTGTACGTCCGGGGAGGAAGAGAGCAGTCTCCTCGAGGGCTGAGGCCGGGCCGGGTCCCGGGGACAGGGACGCCGCTCTGGGGCCGGGACGCCAAACTGTGGTGTGAGGCTGAGGAGCTGCTGGTCCCGGCTGGAGTCGGGAGGGGAGGGCTTGAGTCCAGTGACACTGCCCGGGGCAGGGGGAGCTGGGCGTGTTCAGGGAGCTGCACGCGGTTTCAGAGGGTGCGGTCGGGGAAGGGGGCGGGGATCGGTCCCGGCCTGCCAGCCCCACGGGGAGGGGCCGCGGGGCCGCTCTCCAAACCGGGTCGCTCGGGCTGTGTTGACACACAGCACGCGTTCTCCCTCGAGGAGCCGACAGGCACGTCTCTCACTTCCCTGGACCACTCTTGTTGTGCACGTGGGCTCTCGTACGGGTGAGGGGGGCAGAGCCTGCCTGCACGTTTCCCCACCGAAGGACACGTTTCCGTTGCTTGGGAGGGCCGTGATCCCGTCTGAGGTGGCGGCCGGGGTCGGGGTGCACCGATGCCTGCGTCCAGGCCACGGGGCGCAGGGCCCCTTGTGGAGGGGCCGCTGGTACCTTCTCTGCTGCCCAGACTCTGGCAGTCGTGCCCGGAGCTTTGTCTGCTGCGGCCAGACCTCGCCCTCGTGGCCACGGGGGTCCCGGCTCTGTGTCCCTTGCGTCTTTACAACGAGGAGGTCTTCACGTGTTCTGGGGGCACCGGGCGGCAGAGGTGTTTTCGATTCCCGAGTGGAGTCGGTCTCCTTCCCGTCCTGCGGGGGAGGGGCCTCCTCGCCCTCTGCCGAGAACGGGCTGCGCCCGGCCCCTGCGCTCCGCCCCTGGACCCGGTGCCCTGGCCACCCCTTTCCGAGGACGAAGTGCGGGAGTCCTGGGGCGCAGGCCTGCAACAGAGTTCTGTGCGGTCCCTTCGCGGGGACGCGGCTCCGACCCTTTCTTGCTACCTTAAGGCTCTGTGGCAGCCCGGGGCCCTCCCGAGCCAGGAGTCTAAGGCACCGTGCAGGGCTGCGCCGGCCCGCTGGCACATCTCCGTCCCGGTCGGTCAGGGCCCTGAGAGCGCGAGAAAGGATCTCTGGGCCAAATCTGCTTGTTGTCCCGGAAAAGGAAAGGCGTTTCTTCTGCGGGCCGCGCGCCACCAGCCGGTCCACGCTGTCCATGGGTTCGAGTGTGACAGGGAGAACGTCCCGTGCGGAACCGGGAGGGGCAGCTCCTAGGCTGCTGTTGATCTGTTTTCACGAGCGACCCTTGTTTTGATCTAGAAGCCTCAGAGGCATTTCCGGCGGGGACCACCCCACCTGCAGATCAGAGCCCCCGATAAAGACCCGAAGGAGCAGAGGCAGGATGACGCCGGGCGGAGGGACGAGGTGGTGGGCGACGCTCGTCAGGAAGAAAGCACGCAGAGAACGGTGGTCAGGTACGCGGAGGGTCAGAGACGAGGCAGGAAGCGCAGATGCGCGGAGGCCAGTTTGACGTTTCCTGAAAACCGAAGGGGAGGAGGGTCAGCGTGGTGTGTGAAGTGGGTTGTCCTTCCAAAGCAGACGGCGGAGAGCGGGGGACCCTGGTGGGGGCGGGGGCGGGGCCCCGCCATCTCCTCTCGTCCCGCGTGGCGCGTGGGGCTGACGGCCACGGCGAGCCCGGCCGGGCTGCGACCACAGGGCGCTGGCGTCTCCGCCGTGGAGCCGGCTGACTGCTCTTCCTTCTGTCCCTGAAGCTGGAGGGGCGCGGTGATCGAGCCCGAGCAGGGCACCGAACTTCCTTCGAGAAAGGCACAGGGCCCCCCCACCAAGCCTCCCTCGCCGGCCCCCGGGAGTCAGAACCAACCAGGTAAGGCCCCAGCTGCACCCCCTTGGGCCTCACCCGACGTCGTGACGGAGAGGGCGCGTAGACACCCAGGTGGGCACCGGGGTGGGCGGCACGGCGCCCGCTGTCCCTCCAGGCACGGGTCGCCCTTTGATGCCCCGGCGGGCCCCAGCGCTCCTTAGAGCCTTGGTGAGGACCCTGGGCTCCTTGGCGGCCCGTGGTCTGGGGCCCGGCGCCGCAGCCACGGGCCGCCTGTGTGGGAGCTGCCGGCGTCCGTGTCCGGCGGGGGCCCCGCGGACAGGAGAGGTGCGGCCGCTGCTTGCGGGATGCTGGGGGTCCTGGGTCTTGGCCCCAGTATTTGAGGGCCTTCTGGGCGTAGGCGCTTTGTACGCTCCTGTTCTCGTGGCCTATCACAGGTCATCGGCCTGTCCTGGGCCCATTCTGCAGGCAGGAGAGCCGAGGCTAGGCCAGCAACGGCCAGGGCCGTTGGCCTCCCGGAGCGGGGGCTGGCGCCAGGTCAGCTGAGTCTGGGGCCCGGGCCGTGACCCTGCCTTCCTGTCGCTGTCACTGCCGAAGGAAGGAGGAAGGGGGAGCCCGGCGCCGGTACGCACGTTCCCGGGCGGCCCTGGCATGTTGGGGGAGGCAGGGCGGTCACGGGGCTCTGAGGACCGATGTCGCGGCTACGTATACCTCCGCCCCTGGGCCTCGGACCACACCGAGGGGACACGTGTCGCAGGGCCGTCGACGTACACGTTTTTGCCCGCGTGGCGGCCCTGTGACTTGTGCCGGGTCCTCCGACGTGTGCGGAGGAGAAACCACCTCAGTCGCTCTCGCGGGCGCCCCGGAAAGGCCGCCGGGCGGCCACGGGCCCCTCTGCCGCATGCTGGTTCCTCCCTGAAAGCGTCCAGAGCCGCTAAGGCACGACGCGGGCGCCTGCGAGACGAGGCCCGCCACGTCCCATCCTCCCACGGCCAAATTGTACAGCGCGGCGCTGGGGGCGGGGCGGCGGGCACCGGCCTGCCGCCTCAGAGCCGCTGCTCCCCGCGCGTCCCCTGCGGCCCCAGAGGGTCGTGCCTGCCGGGCGTCTGGTGCAGGTGGACGGGCCCAGGCCAGGCGGCCGAGAGGCCGAGATGTCACGTGCGGGGCCTGGAGACCTCGCCGCCTCCACGTTGGCCGCCGCGTCCTGCTGCGAGGCTGCCACCTGCGACCCTGTGCCCCGACCTTCAGGGCTGAGCACCGCTGCCCCGTGGCCCCGGACAGTGTGCCCCCCGCCCCCACCCCACGGGGCGCCCCTCAGCTCGGTCCCCGAGCGGGACCAGCGCCCACGACCCGCTCTCTTCCTCGCAGCCTCCCCGAACGAGCGTCAGAGGGCCGTGATAGACGCCTTCCGCCACGCGTGGACCGGATACCGCAAGTTCGCCTGGGGCCACGACGAGCTGAAACCCGTGTCCAGGTCCTTCAGCGAGTGGTTTGGCCTGGGACTTACGCTGATCGACGCCCTGGACACCATGTGGATTCTGGGCCTGAAGAAAGGTATCTGCTCGTGCCCTCGCCGGCGGCCAAGTGCCCCCGGCGCGTGTGACGCTCGGGCGCGGGCGTGAGCGAGCCGTGCCCCGGAGTGTGTAGACGCCGCTGATTCCGTCTGACGCGCTCTCCCTCCTCCTGGGTGACGGGCCGTTGCTTTGCTCGGGACGCTCGAGACTCCCGGCCGAGGACCTGGGCTGGCCCCGGGCTCTGTCGCAGCCGGACGGGGGCTCCCTGGCGGGAGGTGACACGTGATGCGATGAGGCCCTGGGCCTCTGCCTCACGTCCTCCTCAGGCCACGCACCTGGGGAGCGGTCAAGGTCACAGGTCTTCGGGTCTTTCCGGATCGATCCGTCAAAATGCATTTCGAGTGTTCTGGATAGACCGAAGCCTCCCCCTCGGCCCCTCACGTGGTCCTCTGCGCCGTGCCCTTCACCCGCGGGCCGTTGGTGCTCACGACTGCGCGCTGGCTCCCTCTCCTCTGGGTGCGGGGGGGCTCCGGCGTGCGTCCCCCCGGCCGTGGGAAATGACGTCGACGCGCTGCAGGGGAGAGACATGAAGATGCGCGTGGCCCCGGGGCGGGTGAGCGAGCGGGAACGGGTGCGCCAGGACCGGTAACCTGCACCCCCACCCCCACCGTGTCGTGTCCTAGAGTTTGAAGAGGCCCGGAAATGGGTGTCTAAGAAGCTGCGGTTTCAGAAAGACGTGGACGTGAACCTGTTTGAGAGCACGATCCGCATCCTGGGCGGCCTCCTGAGCGCCTACCACCTGTCCGGGGACGACCTCTTCCTGAGAAAGGCCGTGAGTGTCCGCGCGCCCGCAGGGACCCACGTCTGGAGCGCGTGAGCGGCGGTTCGGCGGCTCGAGGGGCTCCCGGGGGTGGGGGCCGGGGGCATCGCGGGTTCCCTCTCCGCCCCGTCGCCAGAGTCCCGTTCTCGCGGGAGCAGGCGTCGCGCCGCCCGTCGCCACCCGCGGGGGAGCGCTCCTGGGGCTCCTCGGGGCCGGCTCGGTTTTGCTGCCGTCCCGCGCCGAGGCCACGGGAAGCCGGCGAGGTCCCGCGTCCGCTAGCGGGACGACAGCGGGTGGCGGGGTGGCGTCGTGGGACGGGGCCGAAGCCGCCGTGTGACGGAACGCCTCGGTCCTCCCCGTGTCTCGTCATCAGGAAGACTTTGGGAACCGGCTGCTGCCTGCGTTCCAGACGCCCTCCAAGATCCCGTACTCGGACGTGAACATCGGCACCGGGGCCGCCCACCCGCCCCGCTGGACCTCGGACAGCACGGTGGCCGAGGTCACGAGCATTCAGCTGGAGTTCCGAGAGCTCTCCCGCCTCACGGGAAACAAGAAGTTCCAGGTACGGGGGTCGGGCTGCCGCCGGAGCTGCCCTGGGCGCGTGGCAGCGAGCGCAGGTTTGCGTGAACTTGACCCCGGGCCGCGGGACCGCCGTCGCGTGTTCTTTCTCGCTTCTCGCTCCTCGTCTTTCCTCAGTGGCTCCCATCTTCCCCTTGCTAGCAGACGCGGGCGGGGCCCCTAAGGGCGTCGACTGGGGGCTGAATCCTAGCGGGCCCGCGGCCTTGGGGTCCCAGCCGCCAGCGTCCCTCGTGCTGACGTGGCCCCGAGGGGCGGCCCCGCGGTCACGGTTTTCGGCCTTGCCAGCCCGCTGCTGACGGTCCTCACGGCCCTCACTCCTCACCACCCCATCCCCACCTCCGCCGTGGGCCGTGGGCCGGCTCCTCGTGGGTGAGTCTCCGGCACGCGGGGGACCCTGTGGACTTAGCGCTCCTTCCTGCCCCTCTTCCTCTTCCTTAAAACCTGAGCTGTGATCCCAGCGTGAGGAAATTTTGCCTCTTGGCTCGCACGTCGCGCCGCCGCCGTCTGGTTCCAGTCCTGGGTCCTCACCTTAGGAAGTAGGCCGGCACCCCTGAGTGGCCACGCCGGGCCCCTCGGGTTGCCTCGGCAGCCGCGAATCGACTTACCGCTTGTGACTTTCTGTCTGGAACACGTGGCGTGAGCGAGGTCCTCAGGCGTGGCCGTCCGTGGCCGGGTCTGCGGGGGTGGCTGCGCGCGTGGTGTCTTCGTCTGCGTTGAAGGCGTCCGCAGGGTGCACGTCCGTGGCGTAGCACGTGTCCGAAGCGGCCCTTTTCGTGGCCGAGCAGCTGGCGGGGTGCGGTCGGACCGGTTCTGTCCGGGCCCTCGTGTGTTGGGGAGCAGCTGGGGCGTTTCCCACGCGGGTGGTAAGAGCGGCGCTCCTGGGAGAAGGTTCCAGGCGCGTGCAGGGCCCGGGCTCCTCCACGGCAGCCCGCGCTGCTTCTCCGGTCTCTGCGGGTAGCCCTCGTCGCAGTAGGTGCGTGAGGGTGTCCCCTGTGGGCCCGGATTGCGTAGTAACGACGTGCGGCGCTTTCCAGACGCCCGCAGGCCCCGTGTCCGTCTCCCGGGGAGAGGAGGGCGTCCGGGTCCCTCCCTGCTCCTTGATGGGTCCGCGGCCTTCCTGCCGTTGGCTCGTAGTCCGAAGGCTCAGCGTTCCTCCGTCTGCTCGTGAGCCACCAGCCCGGCGCCGTCACCATGCCGGGTCTCCGTAGTTCCCGGGACCAGAGAGGGATTCCAGCAGCGCCTGTCTCGGAGCGTCTGTAAACGGGGGCGGGCGGGCGTGCCGGGCGCAGACCAGGAAGTCGCGCCCCAGGCAGGGTCCTGAGCGCCGCGATCCAGTGTGCACAGAGCCGCGGAGCACAGACGCGCGGCGCCCCCTGGGCCGGACGGGGGAGCTCAGAGGTTCGGAGGCTGGGTGGGTCTTGAAGGACGAGCAGGAGTCCACCAGGCGGGCGAGCAGCGACCTCGGGCTCGGAAACAGACGTGCCTGCCTTCCCCGTGGCGGGTGGGAGCAGACGGCCACGCCTGGGCAGGCGGTCGTGGGGACCAGAGCCGTGGCCTTCAGACAGGGTCCCCCTGCCCGAGGCGCGGTTCCGCCCTGTCGTCCCGGCCCGTGTCATCTGCCCGCCCGTCGGGGCAGCGGCGTGTGAGTGAGGGTGGGCCGTCCTCAGAACGCCCCGCCCGCTGCAGCGCCGGGGGCCAGGACACCAGGCTCCTCAGGCCTCCGCTGGGAGCGGGCCGCCTGTGCTGGAGGGCAGAGCCGACGAGGCCGGCTTTCGGCCGGCCCGAGCTCCCCCCCCGGCCCCTCCCCGCTCACCCGCACTCTCCCCTGGTGTGCCCCAGGAGGCGGCGGAGGAGGTGACTCGGCGTGTGCACTCCCTGCCGGGGAAGAAGGACGGGCTGGTGCCCATGTTCATCAGCACCCACAGCGGCCTCTTCACTCACCTGGGCGTGTTCACGCTGGGCGCCCGGGCCGACAGCTACTACGAGTACCTGCTGAAGCAGTGGATCCAGGGCGGCAAGAAGGAGACGCAGTGAGGCCTGTTTCTGCGGCCTCGGGGCGGGGTCCCCGAGGCTCGCCTCGGCCCGAGTGCTCGGTCCGGGGGCAGCAGCCCGTGCGGGACCCGGACTCGGTCCTTCCTGAAGGGGACGTGTCTTCCGAGCAGGGCCTTCGTGCCAGGGAGGATGCCTGGCCGGTCACGGAGGTCCCCGGCCCCTCCGCGCCGGGCAGGGCCTGGGGTCTGGGCCCGGCCGCGCCCTCTTCCTCGGGGTCGTGGGGTCGCTCTGCTCTTCCGCTCCCCGGCAGATGGCAGCCGGGGCACCTGGGCCTCCCCGTGCTGCCTGGGTGGCCCTTCAGCCGTGGGCTGCTTTCCCAGGCAGCAGGGCAGCGGGGAGCCCGTCGCGCAGCCGGGAACACACAGGTCACCCTCGCGAGGGAGCCGGACGTCCCTGACGTCTCAAGCCAGGGGGTGACCGCGACCCCGGGCCGCTGGGGGGCAGCTCCAGGCCCGCCCCTACGGGCAGAGACCAGGGCATCAGGGCCAAGGAGCCTGTACGCGGGGACGTTGAGAGAACGCGGTGGGCACGCGGGGTCCCGGGGTGCTAGCTGAGAGGAGCGACCCAGTTCAGGGCAGCGGTGGGCACAGCGTTACGCGTGCCCCGGGCCGCGGACTGCCACGAGCCTCCACCTCCAGTGTGGCGCGGTCCACCCCTGAGAGGGCCAGGCCTCTCGGCCGCCGGCGTGGGGATGGCAGCTCGTGGCTTTGTCCCCGTGTCTGGGCAGCGGGGGCGGTGGGGTGGGGGTGCGCCCGCCTGGCCCCAGCCGACGGGCGCTGCCGGTCCGGGCAGGTTACTGGAGGACTATGTCGAGGCCGTCGAGGGGATCAAGAGGCACCTGCTGCGCAAATCTGAGCCCCGGAAGCTCACCTTCGTGGGAGAGCTGGCCCACGGCCGCTTCAGCGCCAAGATGGTGAGCACGTGCGTGGTCCGGGAAGGGGTGGGGGCCGCCCCCACCCGTTTGTCCCGACCCCGGTGGCCTCTCGAGTCCCTACGTGGGAGAGATCGCTGAGATTCTGGCCGCGGAGCGCGAGCCCTCCCAGGTCGACGATGCGCTGCTGGGCGCGGCAAGGAGGCTCTGGGGGCCCCTGGCCCCTCCCCCGGGGACCCTGTGTGCCCTCCCTGCGTCCTAGACTCCACCCCCTCCCCTTCCCCCTCCCCGGCTCTGCTTGCTCCTCTCCCGCCGCTGGCCCTCCATCGTTGTTGGGGGGGGTCGGCGTCTGCTCCCCCCGCCCACGTGGAGCCGCAGGTGCGGGGCCCCTGGTCGAGTCCCTTGTCCGTGGTCCTGCCGTCGTGGACCCCGAGGAGTCCCCGCTGAGGCCCCCTGACCCCCGGGGATGCGGGAGGCCTGAGAGCGCGCTGGACCCGGTCGGCCCCCACCCTCGCCCCTCGCGGCCACCGACCCCCGGTGGTGAGGAGACGCTCTGGTTCCAGGACCACCTGGTGTGCTTCCTGCCAGGGACGCTGGCTCTGGGCGCCCACCACGGCCTGCCCGCCGGCCACATGGAGCTGGCGCGCGCGCTCATGGACACCTGCTACCAGATGAACCGCCAGATGGAGACGGGGCTGAGCCCCGAGATCGTGCACTTCAACCTGTACCCCCAGGGCGACCGCAAGGACGTGCAGGTCAAGGTGAGCCAGGGCCGGGCTCCGGGCCGGGCTCCGCCCTTATCCCCCCTCCCCCCGCTGCCGGCCCCGCTCACCCCGTGTCCTCCCCCCCAGCCGGCCGACAGGCACAACCTCCTGCGGCCGGAGACGGTGGAGAGCCTGTTCTACCTGCACCGCCTCACGGGCGAGCGCAAGTACCAGGACTGGGGCTGGGAGATCCTGCAGAGCTTCAACAAGTACACGCGGGTGAGCGCCCGGCAGCCGGGGCGGGGGTGGGGGGGCGGGCTCCCCGTGGCCTCGGGAGTTCGGGGCGCATCCCCTCCCGGGTCCTCCGTGGGGCCCTGGGCGGCCCTCTCCCACCCCACCCCCGTGCTCCAGGCTCCCGCCACCCGTCTCCCGTCGGGCAGTGGCTCAGAGGCTCCCGCCACCCACCAGCCACCAGCCACCAGCCACCCCGGCAGAGAGCGCTCCTGAACTCGACCTACGTCCGCCCTGTGGCGTGTGCGGCGGTGGGTTCAGGACTCGTCGGGCGCTCTCAGGGCCTTGGAGGGGGCCCTTCCCGTCGGGTCAGGTGAGGGCGGCCGGCATCTCTGAGGGGCCCTCTGGAGGAGCTGCGGCCCCCCGGTACGCCCTGGGGTCGTCCGCCCCGGACCTTGACCTGGGCCTCGCGTGCGGCTGTGCGGCTGTGCGGCCGCTGGTGCCCTCGAGGGCTGAGCCTGGCGCCTGGAGCCGGCCGGGCCTGCAGCCGTGACGCCGCGGCCTCCGCTCTCGCGCAGGTGCCCTCGGGCGGCTATTCTTCCATCAGCAACGTCCAGGACCCTCGCAGTCCCCAGCCCCGGGACAAGATGGAGAGCTTCTTTCTGGGGGAGACGCTCAAGTACCTGTATCTGCTCTTCTCCGACGACCCAGACCTGCTCAGCCTGGACACCTACGTCTTCAACACCGAGGCTCACCCCTTGCCCATCTGGGCCCCGCCTAGGGTGGGGTGACAGGGCTCTTGCTCGCGACTCACATATCTCATGTTTGTTGGGTATCTGTTCTCGGAACCCTGGCCTTGGGTAGGCCCACTGTCTTGACCTTGCACCGCAGTGTCCACTCGGCCAACTGTGTGCTCCAGGTCCGGCCGATGATACACCGCAGGGGGTACCTGAACCTGAGGTCTCAGGGCCTCAGAGGTGGTCAGTGCAGCCGGCCGTCAGGGGCTTTGCCCCTGACCTGGCGCTTCCGGCGTGTGGTTCTCACGACGACGGGATGTTGTAAGGTCAGCGTGACAGCGCTGTGAATCGCCAAGGTCCTATCCGCTGGGGGACATTCCTGCTTGAGTCACGACTTACATTCCTGACCCCCAATCGTCTTTCACGTGGCCCCAGTCTCTGCTTGTCTCCTGGGGCCGCTCTGGGTCCCCAGGACCCACCTGTGTTCAGAGAGCAGCTAAAGGGACAGCCTGTCATGCGGTTCAGCCCGGGGTCTCGGCCTGTGAGTGCCCTGACTCAGGACTCGGGGGGGCCGGAGCGGGGCGCCTGTGACCTCCTGCGATTCTGGGCACTGGACGGCTGTGGTGTTTACACGTTGGACTCAGGGATCCTCCGCCGGCCCTGCAGGGGCGGGGAGGGGCGGGGAGGGCTGCTGGGCAGGTTCATCCTGCTCCTGGACCACCCGACAGATCGGACTTTCCAGGCAACATAAAAGTGGCTTTGCCCTGACCGCTGTCTCCCGTGTCTGTGGCAGACCCCCTGTTCCCTGAGCTGTGGGTGGTTCATGCGTCACTGTGCCACCGTCACCCGCAGCCTGGCGCGCTTGGAAGAGGAGGTGTGGACACAGTCCCCGCTCCCCTGGGCGCTGACGCCCTGCACCTGGCCCTGCACCGCCTGCAGCCTCCCTTCCTGAGCACCGACTCAGGCCCTGCTCCGCACCCTGCCCCTTCAGTCAGGCCTGACTTCTCTCTACGGGATACTCTTTTCCAGAAGGTTCTCTTTCCCTTAGAAACCTGTCTCTGCGGTGACCAAGGTTCCCAGTGCTGGGCGGGACCTTGGCTCTTGGACAGGCTCCCTGTTGCCCCAGCACCTCTGGGGGCCGGGACCGCTCTTGGGTTCCCTTCTGCTCTTGGCCGCTAATCCCGTGTGTTTTGTGCCTGGAGCAGAGTGCAGGGCTCCATCCCCCTTCTGGCTGTCAGCTGCTCTTTGACCCAGGGGCCTGGTCAGCATGTGGGGGCCCCCCAGTGGGCCCCCCCAGAGCCCTGGCTCCCACCTCTTGCCCTGAGACCACACATGAGTTGAGGGCTAGGTTTTATTAAGCACGTGGCTGGTTTGGGAGGCCGCAGCCGTGTACAGGTCACGCACGCTCTGTCCCCCGCGAGGACTGCAGACTACATGCTTTGCGTTGCACACAGCCAGTCCACCAGATTCTCCTCTGGCCCCTCTGTCGGCCATAGCCCCTCACCCCCAGAGCCCTGAGCTGCTCCCCAGCGAGTCTGGTCTGGCTCCAAGTCGGAGAGCGCGCCTCAGTCTCCAAGACCCCCGCGCCGGGCCAGCTGCAGCCTCTGTTCTCGTCTGGCCGTGTGCACCCACTCGCCGATGAGCCTGGCCTCGAGCCTGCGAGCCTCCCGGACAGACTCGGGGTCCTTTGGGTGAGACGCTCTGAGGAATAAGCCGGGGGCCTCAGCCACACAGCAGGCCCGAGCCTCACCCCGCCTCCACCCACGTCTGGCCGCGCCCGTGACCGCACGCCGCTCCCCTGCAGGGGCCGGACCGCACCTGAGGTCCAGGTGGTGAGCGCCCCCCTGGATGGTGACGGCAAGGACGGAGGCGCTGAGGTTGCTCCGGATCTGTGTCAGCAAGGACATTCCGTCAGCTGCTTGCTGTGCTCTGGGCCGCGGCTGACCCCGCCTCTGCCCGCCCACGGGGGGCAGGGGCGCAGCTGAGGCCGTGATTTAAAGACACTACCTGGCCTTGAACGGCCTCGTTAAAAGGGAAAGACGGAGACGAACACATCAGATGTCAGTTCACGTTAAGAAGCAGAGGAGAAAACAAAGAAGGGAAGGCGGGTGAAGTGGGAACGAGTGAAGGTGGCCCGAGCCACGGTGTGGAGGTCGGCGAAGGCAGAGCTGGTTCCTGGGCAGAGTCTAGTAAACCCAGGGAGACCCCGCACAGGAGGCCCCGGCCGTGACTCACCCCGCCCCCGGCCCAGGGGTCCAGGTCACCGTTGGAGAAGATGATGTTGCTGGCAGCTTTGAGGTCTGAAAGGGACAGACGTGTGGGTGGAAACTGGGCATGGCTCCCCAGGTCTGAGCCACGGGGGATTGGGGGAGCAGGGTCAGCTTGGCAGAGGGAGCCTCACCTCCCGCCCCGAAGCTGGTGTGCAGCCAGTCCTTCCGGGGCCACACGCCCCACCTGTCCAGGCAGTACTGCTGGCGGAGGTCCTCGGTGAACGGCAGGTCGGGGAAGAGGTCGGACACGTTGTTGCTAGAAAACGTCAGGTTGATCTCGGTGCAGGCCTGCGGGATGCCCAATACAGGTCAGCCCGGGGTGGAGGGCGGGGCTCCCGCCCCCGGCACCTCCGTGCGGTGCCCCGTACCTGGTAATCCCAGGCCCTGGCGTCAGCGCCTGAGCCGCAGCCCGTGGGGTCCGCGCAGGCCTGGTACTGCAGGTAGAGGTCATAGCAGGGCACCGTGCCCGAGGAGTTGTACACCAGCCCTGCAGGAGAGGGGCGCTGGGCCGGGGGCCTGTGCATGCAGCCTGCCCCCCAGAGGGGGCCACGTGCCCCGTGAGGAGCGGGCTTCCTGGGGGCGGGGCTCTCAGCTGCTGCTCTGGCCACTGACAATGGCCAGGCCGTGGCCGGGTGTGCCGTTCTCTCCCCTGGGGCTTTTTCAGAGACCCCATGGAGCAGGGCCCAGCCCCTCCTCCCCCCCGCTGGGCCAGGGGCTGCGCCGGGGCATCTGTGCTCCTGGCCTCCACACGACCCTTGCCCCCAAGCTACGTCCACCCCCCACGCTCGGCGCCAAGCCCAGGGCCAAGGGGCAGACGCACCAGCCAGCGCTCGGAGCCCCTTGATTCTCTCAGTCTCACTCAGGAGCCGCTCACAGCCAACCTAGGGATGCCAGCCAAAGACCCCCCCTTCAGCCCAGCCCCCTCCCCAGCTCACCCCTCCCTGGTCCACCCTAGGGCAGCTGGGCCCGTCAGCTGCCTTCCCCAGGTCCCAGCCAGCGTCGCCTTGCCTTGACCGGGTTGGCAGGAAGGTGCCCTATGAAGTCGGTGGGGTACGGGTAGTCCATCATGGCCAGCACGGTGAAGGCGTTCCGGGCGAACCCGAAGAGCTGGGTCAGGTCCTGGCTGGAGAGTGGCTGGCAGGTGCCGAACTCCTGGCTGACCGTGTCGTACGCTGCCGGGAGAGGGCAGGGTGATGGCCTTTGGAGGCTGCTGTGGGCGAGGATGGGGGCGTGGAGCGAGGCAAGGGGTGCTCCCTGGGGTGCAGGGGGTCCTCCTCACCTCCCTGTGCGAACAAGTCCTTGATCTGCCGGAACGCGTCCCGCACGCCCTGGGCGCACGTGGAACTCTGGCCCTCAAAGTCCTGCAGAAAGAGGCGTTGTGGCTGCTGCCACCACAGCCTGGCCCGGCCCGCGTCCCCGGAACCCGCACTCACCGCCGACACGTCCCGGAAGAAGCGGTAGGAGTCGCCGAGGCCGGCCACAGCAACGACGGGCGCGCTGGCTGCCAGCGCCCCAGCCACGAGGTGCGGGTACTTGATCCTCATGTAGGCGCTGAGCATCCCCCCGTAGCTGCGGGGGGACAAGGAGCGCCTGGGCGCACGGCCTCCCCGGCACCCCCTCCGCTCTCCCTTGTCAGAGCCCACGGTGCCCCCAGGAAGACCTGAGACTTCTAGGCCCCCCGGAAACTCTGGCGCTGAGGCCGAGCACACGTTTGGGCCTCAGGGAGAAATGAGAAGGGCGAGAACCCACCTGCCACCGAACACGACGGCGGGGGTGTCCTGGGCCCCAAGGTCTCGCCGCAGCGCGCTGAGCAGCCTCGCGAAGTCAGCCAGGGCCTGTTCCACCGTCAGCAACTCCGTGTGCCCGCGCTGCGTGGACCGCTCTCCGAAGGGGAGCGACTTCCCGTAGTACCGCTGCGGGCAGCGCCGGGACACTGAGCCCGGGCCGGCCACCCCCCCCGCCCCCCCGCCCCCAGCACCAGTACCCACGTGCTCCGCGAAGACGACCAAGGCCCCCTGCTGCGCCGCCAGCTCCAGGATGAACCCCGAGTTGTTGGCGAAAGACCACACGTTCCCCTCATTGCCCGTGTAGAAGAATATGGGCCCCTCGCCCCTTTTCCAGAACTTCTCTGTCGGGCGGAGGCGGGAGGAAGCGGGTGAGGCACAGGCAGGACCTCAGGGCCCCGGGACCCCAGGGAGGCCTCACCTGACACCAGGAACCGCTGGAGGAAGGTCTTGTTGCCGAACCTCTCGAAGTTGAAGTGGTCCAGAAGCTGCTCGAAGTAGACCTCCTGGAAGTCACACTGGGGGACTCTGTGGGCTGGAGGGGCGCGGTGCTCAGCGCTCGGGGACGCCGGGCACAGCGGCGGGGGACACCCACGGGCCCGCACTCACCCCCGGCCTCCGGGCCACGCGGCCCCAGTGCCAGCAGCAGGGTCAGGGCCCAGGGCAGGGGCCGCAGCAGCTGGGCGCTCATCTCTGCTCCGCCGTGGCCGCGGTCACATGACTGGCGGGCCACCCTCACGTGACATCCCGGGCGGGGCGGGGCTCTGGGCCCGACCTTCCCCGGCCTGCCTGCCGGGCTCCTGAGGCCTTTGGTCCAGGTTCTCCAGGTTCCCGCCTCCCACCGTGTTGCCACAGAGATGGTTGCCGTGGAGACACAGGAAGCGGGAGCGGGCTCGAGGGCCTGGGGCTCCAGGACAGGGGACGTGCACCCGGCCGCCTGTCCTTGAGGGGCCACCGCCGAACCCCGGGGAGGCGGGAGAGACCCGCCAGCTGTCTGGCTGCCCCTCCCTGAGCCACACACACCCACGCCCCTCCCAGCCTCATGGCCACTAGGTGATGTCCTGGGCCAGGTCGCCCCTGCGGGCAACCCATTGGGGAGGGCTGGCTCTAGAGGGCAGGGGTGACCCCCGAGAAGAAGGGGGGAGGCTCGGGAAGATGGGGTGGTGGCAGCTCGGAGGCCTGTGGCTGCAGCAGGGACCTCAGAGCCCAAGCAGGGGCTTGGACAGTGCAGAGATGCGGCTGCTGAGAGCCTGGGTCGGGAGGAGGTGGCCCAAGGCCCTGCTGGGACCCTGACCCCAGCCCCTCAGGCCGCTCCCTTCACTGCCCCTCAGTGCCAGAGGCTGTGGCTGGTACCAGTGCCCACACACCAGAGGGGCCGCCTCACCCCTGGCATCCAGTCCCGGGAAGGCGTGAGGGGCCAGATCAGCAGAGCCACCCCCCTGCCTGAGGCCGCAGAGGGAAGGGGAGTCACTCGGCCCGGTGCCAAGACTGGCCCTGGTCAGCACACCCCCCAGTCCGTGCCCAGGTCCTACCTGTCTAGTGCTGGCACAGGCCTGGGCTGGGGTCCTGCGCTCTGGCTGCAGCCTGAGAACCCGGGGCCCCAGGACAGGACAGGCAGATTGGGGAGCAGCCCTTTGCCCCACACACTGTCCCAGGACTGTCACTGTGGCAACCAGCATGGTGACAATGACCATCATGTCATACCACCCCATGGGCGTGGTCACCCCCTGGTCCCCTAGAGCCGCACCACAATCACTGCACAGTCCCTGTCCCCACCCCACCCCCACATCCCTGTGTCCCTGTCCCCGTGTCTCCCCGTCCCCATGTCCTGTCCTTGTCCCGTGTCCCCCTCCTTGTGGCCCTGTGTCCCCACGTCCCCATGTCCCCCCGTCCCTATGCCCCTGTGCCCCCGCCCCTGTGTGTCCATCCCTCTCTCCCTGTGTCCCTCATGTCCCCGTCTCCCTATCCCTGTGTGCCCACCCTCATGTCCCTGTGTCCCTAGCCCTATTTGCCCACCATTATGCCCCTGTCCCCGTCCCTTTCTCCCCATCCCCTGTCCCAGTCCCTGCGTCCCCGTGTCCCCGTGTCCCCGTCCCTGTGTCCCCGTGTCCCCGTGTCCCCGTGCCCCTGTTTGCCCATCATTGTGCCCCTATCCCCGTCCCTGTGTCCCTGTGCCCCCGTGTCCCTCTCCCTGTGTCCCCCTGTCCCCATGCTGTGTCTGTGTCCCCAAGCTCCCATGTCCCCGCCTCCCCGTGTCCCTGTTCCTGTGTCCCCGTACCCGCCCCCAGGGCTGCCTGTCCTGTGTCGAGTAGCAAGCTGCCCTCGCAGGGCGTCCAGGGCCTCTGCAGGGTGGAAGCCACGACGGGACGGAAGGGCTCCCCGCAACCCCCGCCCCCCCGGCCTGGCCCTGCTCTCGTCCTTTCTTCCCAGCTCAGGCGCCTCACACCCCGGCTGCAGACCCGCCATGTCCTCCCCTCCAAACCCTCCAGGCAGCCTCTCCATGCCTGGGGGGTCCCGGGAAGGCCCGAGGTGCGTTCTGATTCTGCCTGTCTTGCTCCCACCTGGTGGCCCTGAGCGTGCGGGTACGTCTCGGGGTCCAGAAACCCTTCTCCCAGCTCCCTGGGGCGGGGCGGGGACTGGGGGCCAAAGCTGGGTCTTGATTCCCCCTCCACAGCCCATAGGTCTGGGGAGACAGGCCCCGCCTGCCCCCAACACGCTCTGCCCCCTTCAGTCCTCAAAGCTGCAAGCAGCGGGGGGGGGGGGGGGTAGAGACCCCACGCAGGTCCCCGTAATGCGGGCTTTGCCGGAGGTGCACGGGAGGTCGGGGCCACATTTGTGCGCGGGCTCAACTATGCACACTCATACTGAGCCCCCTTTCGTGTCATAAAAGGTGCTTTTATTTGTCTGTTATTGAGCATTAGTAGTGTTTTGTTGTTCTAGACATTTTAAAAAACATATTCTGGATATAAATTCCTCATGAGATATGTAGTTTATGAATATTTTCTCCCATTCCGTGGGTTTGCATTCTGGCGGTGGGTGCAGTCCGACCCGACCGGCGCCTGTGCTGCTGGAGTGTGGCCCGAGGAGCCCCGCGAGGCCCGCTGGGACGGACACTCGCCCCCACGCCGCCATCGCTGCTGCTCTAGGAGCCGGACGTTTCAGCTCTTTGGGTCGCGGATCGCTTTTTACTTAATGCTTTGTATGCAGCGGGAAGTAAGGTCCAACTTCCATTCTTTGCATGTGGAAATCCAGTTTTCCCGTTACTGTTTGTTGAAGACAAAGTTCTTTCCCACCGAGTCACCCTATATACCCTTGCAAAACATCGATCGGCCGCCCCCCGATGTGTTTGTTTCTGGGCTCCTCCGTCACCTACGTCCTCGTCTCTGCCCTGAGGCCAGCGCCACGCTGCTCGGAACACCGTGCCTTCGTAGTGTGCTTTTAAATTGGCCAATTTGTGTCATCCAGCTTGGTTCTTTTTCAAGAATACCTTGGCTATTGGGGGCTCCTTGCAGTTCCTCATGAATTTGAGGATTCATTTTTCCATTTCAGCAAAAAAAAAAGGCTGTTGGAATTTTGATGGCACTGAATCTGTAGATCATTTTTGTCTAGCACCGATGTCTTAAAATTAAGTATTCCTGGGGCGCCTGGCGGGCTCAGTCGGTTAAGCGTCCGACTTCGGCTCAGGTCATGATCCCACGGTTCGTGGGTTCGAGCCCCGCGTCGGGCTCTGTGCTGACAGCTCGGAGCCTGCTACAGGTTCTGTGTCTCCCTCTCTCTCTCAAAAGTAAATAAACATTGAAAAATTTTAGAAAATAATAAAATTAAGTATTCCTATCCATTTACAAAGAATATCTTTCCACTCATGTAGATCTTCTTTATTTCAGGAATGTTTTGTAGTTTTTGGTGTACATTATATCCTTAGTTAAAATTATCCGTATTTATTCTTTTAGATATAATTTTTATTTTATTTTAAAGTAAGTTCTATGCCCAGCATGGGGCTGGAACTCACAATCCCAACATCAAGAGCCAAATGCTCCACGGACTGAGGCAGCCAAGCGTCCCAGCTCTAGGTGCTATTTTAAATGGAGGTGCTCTCCTAACGTCCTTTTCAGACGGCTCACAGCAGGTGCCTGGGAACATAACGATTTGACTGCTGATCGAGTGAGTGCCTTGCAAGTCTCCCGAATTTATTAATTCTATTGTGTTCTTGTGAATTCTGTGGGATTTTCTGTACACAGGATCATATCATGTGCAAATAGAGACAGTTTTACTCCTTCCATTCCGAACTGAATGCCTTTTATTTTTAGTGGCAGTGGGAGCAGGTATTCGTCTTAGAGGAAAAAGCTTCGTCTTTCATCTTGAGTGTGATGTTGGCTTTCCCGTGATTGTCCTTTCTCTTGTTGAGGAAGTTCCCTTCTACCCACAGTTTCATGAGTGTTTCTGCCATGCGAGTGTTGGCGTTTGTCGCATACTTTTTCTCCGTCCATTGTGGTGACCGTGTGTTTTCCCCACGCGCTCTACTAATGGAAGGCACTGCTGTTCCTTTCTCCTCTTGGAGCTGCCTTCTGTCATTCAGCACGATGTGCTTGGGGTCCTTTCTATTCTGTTGTGTGCATGCTTGATCTCCTTATATTGAACCACCTTGTATCCTGGGGTAAGTTCCACTTGATCCTGGATCATGGTGTAAAGTCTTTTAAATATACTGCCAGGTTTTATTTGCCAGTGTCTTGCTAAGGAATTTTGCATCAATATTCACAAGGAATATTGGTCTGCAGTCTTCTTTTATTGAAATGTCTGTATCTGGTTTTGATATCAAGGTAATTTTGGGTTCACTGAATTACTTAGGAAGTTTTCCCTCCTCTCAATTTTCTGAAAGAGTCTGAGAAGGACTGGTGTTAACTCTTAAAATATTGTGGGGTTTTTTTAAAGATTTTTTTCAAGTGATCTCTACACCCAACGTGGGGCTCAAACTCAACCCGGAGATCAAGAATTGCTCGCTTCACAGACTGAGCCAGCCAGGTGCCCCAACTTTTAAAATGTTTGGCAGAATTTCCCAGTGAAGCCATGTGATCCCAGGCTTCTTGCTGGTGTGAAATTTTTCTATAAGGTGATGCCCCCACTTCCATTTCTGATTTTAGTTATTGGATATTTGCCTTTTCATTGTCAGTTTAGCTGAGAGGTTCGTCAATTTTGCTGATATTTTCAAAGAACCAACTTTTGGTTTTGTGGCCCATCTCTATTGTTTTCCTGTTCTCTATTTTACTCGTGTCCGTTCCACTCACTGCCTTCATGCTGTAAGCTTTGGGCTTAGTTTGCTCTTCCTTTCCTAGTTCTTCAAGGTGTGTAGTTAGGTACTAACTTGAGATGTTTATTCCTTTTATATTATTATTTTTAAAGTAGGCTCTATGCCTAACATAGAGCTCAAACTCACAGCCCTGAGATAAGCAGTTGTGTGCTCCACCAACTGAGACAGCCAGGTGCCTCGGTACCTTTTATTTTATTTTTTTTAATGTAGGCATTCAAAGCTACAGATTTTGATCTGAGCACAGCCTTTGCTGCATCCCATAAATTCTGTACTTTGTGCTTTCACTTTCATACATCTCCAAAAATGTTTAACTTCCCTTCTAATTTCCCCTTTGACCCACTGATTGTGTATTTATTGGGGGGGAACAGAGTATGGAGTGAGGGGCAGAGAGGGAGGGAGACACAGAGTCCGAAGCGGCTCCAGGCTCCGAGCTGTCAGCACAGAGCCTGACGTGGTGCTTGAACCCACGAGTGAGATCATGACTTGA